GAAAATTTTAAAAAATTGTTGACCAGACGTGGAATGCATCTATAATAATTCATGTATAAACTCTTCAATCTGTGTCAATTAAATAAGTACATTATTGCTTCATGACGTTACCGTGGGCACTAGTAGCATGGGTAAAATACCGATTTCTACAGGGACGGATTTAGGTATGTGGTGGCCCCTGGGCGGAATGCATTGTGAGGGCCCTTTATACATAAACAAGAAAATATATTTTTTTACTTATTAAATAGTAATTATTATCATATTTGCGATACCAATGTATACCAAATTTGTGGGGGCCCCTGGGCTGCAGCCCACTCAGCCTTCCCCTAAATCCGGCCCTGGATTTCTATGTATTCTGGTAGGTGGTTCAAATCTCATTGCAGCGGTGTTCGTGACGAGTTTTTCAGGATAGATGAGATGGGCCACGTTTTTTCGAGAGCGTGTTTCGTAACGTTGGTGCGGCCAGATATTGTATCACTCAATGTCCAACTAGTGTCCACACTACCACCAACATAATTCAGGGGAGGCATACTTTTTTTCCCTCCTGATTTATGTTGATGGTAGAAAAACAATTTCGCTCTTTTTTTCTTTTTTAGATTCTTTTATATTTACTTTTTTAAATTTGAAATTGTTTTAAAAACCATGATCTCAAATTTTCCCAAATTAATGTTATTTTTCATTAATCGTAAAATACTATTAATAATAATTTATAAAATTATATTTTATTTTTCTAGAGATAAATTTTTGATTTAATAATTTTTAGAGCATTTAATCTTGTTATAAAATGTATATTGTCTATTTAATACACATATCATAAAATGATATTCAAAATCACTTTATAATTATGTGATTTTGAATAGCACAACGACTGTCCATGGTACAAAAGTACTTTGATATTTAGACAGAATTTCCATTTACATATTTTTATAAAAATACAGGTTGTGTTTATGATTAAACAGATAGAACATGTATAATTTTATTGCACCCATCGTATCTTATCTTTCAAAATGAATGATTATTAAAAGACATACTCTTATACTAAACGATAGTTTATTATATATTGACGATAAACCGACCTGGAAATTTTTCTTAATAACTACCATAAAAAATAATTTGTGAGCTATCATAACCTATTATTATTGTCATCACGGTGGAATCAAACATATCAGTTGCACTGCCACCGATTTTATGAAACGTAATATATGACAATATTTATTCTTGAAGTCAAAATCTTTAAAGAATTATAAAACGTAAACGGTTGTTCGGATAAAAAAAATTGTTTGTAATTTTTTTTTTCTATCATATTATTAAATCAAAAATAGTGGTTTCCATTTAAACAAATTATAAATAAAGATTTTTATCCCTGAAGAGAATTTAAAATTCTCAATGTTTCTGAGGCAATGAGGACTTATCAGATTTCGATCACTCTGTATACTAGTCTTTATTGTTCTAAGCCCTCGAACTCTACAACTCTGAAAGAACCTTGATGCTTATTAATTGACCAAATTCTAAACATCCAAAATTGGTAAATACCATCACACTTACTTTTAGTACGCTCTCACTTTTAGTAGTATATAGTACTATATATTATAGTGAATGTGTAACAATATACAAAATCTTTTTAATACATAAATATCCACGTGTATATGATATACATTGATGACATAATAATGACAGAAAGATAAATATGATAAAAGTGTATGTAACAGCCATTGTGTTTCTAAATTTAGTGCAATTAAAATTATATATATTACATATTAAATTAGTTTAGTGTTTAGTTACTTCCTTTTTTTGTAATCGGGACATATCTCTCTGCAGAATTTTCTTTCTATTGGCTAATTTTCAGTGTCATTAAAGCATTTTTTATACATAAATTTTAAATGTATATTTTATGTTTAAAAACAGCTTTAATTATTATATATTTGTAATAAAAAGGTCCACCACAATGTTTTTTCATTGAGTAATGGTTGCCATTGTTCACTATTTGTGAATAATTTAGCGTTTTCTAATTTTTTATAAGTTTATTAATAATCTATATACTTTATGTGCTTTATTCTAATATATTTTTTTGTAAAAATGAATAAGTTATTTTTAATTCTTATCAATAATATGTTTATCTACGATCAAGTAAAATCACTTAGTCAAAACACATTTTTACCTCATCTTCAAATGGTAGAAGACTTCTATTGCAAAAGTAATTTTACAAAACAGTTTAATGAACTATTCTATAAATAATTTAGGGAGAATATCATGCAATATTTAAAACAGGATCCAAATGTAATTTTACTATCAAATATAAGATTGATATAAATATTCATTTAATTAAGACCTCCAACTCTAAGTCAGTGCTTACAGGAAATTTGAACTTGGAGATTCCATTTGATGACTCATTATTTGTATGTATGAGTATTAATATTTTACTATAATGAATGATTCTTACTTTTTTTACTTAATCCAGATCCAAAAATACTCATTCATCTTCATATTCAATTAACTTTATTCCTTTTAATAAATTAAATCCTATTACTCATCTTGGTATTATTTTTGAGTCATATCTTATTTTTAATATGTATATAAATAACATCACAAAAAACACATAAAATCTTTATNCATATAAATAACATCACAAGAAACACATAAAATCTTTATGATTTTCAACAAGGAATTGTAAATGTTACACACACTTTGTTGTTTTAAAAACATTATAATGTACTAACGTTAGATTAAATCTCGAATATTATTCTACTCTTTAGTCACCCGTCTATAAAAGCCATAAAATAAATCTTAATGNCCTTTAGTTACCCGTCTATAAAAGCCATAAAATAAATCTTAATGTAATTCAAAATAATTTTTTAAGGTTTTTATGTTTTGTCTGTTAGATTGATAGAAATAGGCATGAACCAATATTAATACTTTTGAATTTATGTTCTTTAAATACCAGAAGGGTTAAGTTNGAGACTTCTATTGCAAAAGTAATTTTACAAAACAATTTAATGAACTATTCTATAAATAATTTAGGGAGAATATCATGCAATATTTAAAACAGGATCCAAATGTAATTTTACTATCAAATATAAGATTGATATAAATATTCATTTAATTAAGACCTCCAACTCTAAGTCAGTGCTTACAGGAAATTTGAACTTGGAGATTCCATTTGATGACTCATTATTTGTATGTATGAGTATTAATATTTTACTATAATGAATGATTCTTACTTTTTTTACTTAATCCAGATCCAAAAATACTCATTCATCTTCATATTCAATTAACTTTATTCCTTTTAATAAATTAAATCCTATTACTCATCTTGGTATTATTTTTGAGTCATATCTTATTTTTAATATGTATATAAATAACATCACAAAAAACACATAAAATCTTTATGATTTTCAACAAGGAATTGTAAATGTTACACACACTTTGTTGTTTTAAAAACATTATAATGTACTAACGTTAGATTAAATCTCGAATATTATTCTACTCTTTAGTCACCCGTCTATAAAAGCCATAAAATAAATCTTAATGTAATTCAAAATAATTTTTTAAGGTTTTTATGTTTAGTCTGTTAGATTGATAGAAATAGGCATGAACCAATATTAATACTTTTGAATTTATGTTCTTTAAATACCAGAAGGGTTAAGTTTGGTTTATTTATCTTATTTAAATTACTAAATGGACTGCTGGATTGTTCGGAAACTTTAAATAAATAAATTTTTTGGTTTCCCCAAAAAATTCTAAGTCAAAACATTTTTTTTACTCAGTGATCAATAAAAAAAAATTAAATTGAATGCCCTTATCAATAGACTTATGTGATAAGCTAATGCTTTAAATTTAGAACCCTTTGTGTCTTCTTCAATTGTAAGTTTTTAATTTTACTTTAACACACTGGAATTTACTAAATGTTATTGATCTTATTAATGTAAGTCATTGTTATATCTTTACATTTTTTTTGTACTCACTCTTGCTACTTATTTTATTTTATTTGTATTTTTGCTTATTGAGTATGAGTAAATAAATAAAATTATTAATTAATGTGTATTTTAGTAAGTTAATACAAATAATATGGTATATTATAATATAATATGTGCTAATATTATTTTTTTTATGTTAGGTTTTATTTGGTAGAAAAAATAACATGCATGTATAAAATGCAATTATTTGTGCTTAAGAAGAAATAATGAATTTTTTAAACAAATATTTAAATAAAAATAACGTGTTTTTTGATTCCATACAGGTGGAGTTGAACTTTGCTGTTTTAGATAAAATAGGTGGCTGGAAAGAAAATGCATATATTTTTCAATATCCAAATGCTTGTACAATGTCCAAAACGGCATTGGAACCTGTTGCATGGAATATGCTTCTAAGCAGTTTAAATATGTCTACATACATTTGTCCCATTGGAACAGTAAGTTTACATTAGCAATCCAATAATCATTTCAAAATAATTTAAATAAAATAAAAAATATGTTTTTGGTTTGTAAATATTATTTAAACATTTAATAAAACAAACCCAGCACATGGATGTCGCGGCACAGTGGTGACGTGGCATAGTTAGATCAAGTATAATGATATCTGACAGTGATTAAAATCACTATCATAAGAAACGCTTCAATGCAAATCTGTAGATAGTGTTTAATTCTAAAAAAATGATGGATAATAATTATTACAAGCAACATCAACTTCTATTTCCTTAATTATACCCAGANAATTATTACAAGCAACATCAACTTCTATTTCCTTAATTATACCCAGATTAGTAATTCATTTAATTATGTAATTTTTATATTGAATAGTTTTCAAATTATTATTGATATTGATTTTTAATATGTTAAAAGTAATAATTTTTAACCTTCTTTATTTCTTTTAACCTTCCTTTAAAGTAAATGTTTATAATAAT